AAAATGTCCTAATTTTATTTTATTAATAATTAAATTATTGGAAAAAGTGTTCTACGAAATTGATTATTAGGTGCATTCAAAAAGAAATATTCGAGCATATACAGCGTGTTTGGTTAAATCAAAACGATATGAATTTTTTTTTAATATCCCGTATATATTATTGTTTTACATATCAAATAAAGTATTGACTTTGTTCACTACAAAAAAACGTTTTTTTAACTATTAGGTGCTTAAAAAGATTTATTTTGATGCATAAAAGCACAAGCTTACATTTTTATGTCTTATAGCGTCTTGTAATTATTACTTTTTGGAGTAATTATTTTTAGTTTTTAGTATAAAACCAATTAAATTTCCGTATAGGTACGTTAATTGAAAAATATTTGAAATAAAAATTAATTGCGTAGGTAAATTTGTTTCCATCTAAATCGTAAAAAATAAACGTTGGAATAAAAATAAGCATTCTGCAATTTTTAATTCAAAAAACCCCGGTACATTAAACTAAGCGGGCTTAGAAATAATGTACTATAAGCAACTGACGTCATAAATTGTTATCCGCCATCTTTATTTTGACGAGCAGTCCTAATACACGTGCCGTGCATTTTGAAGGTAAGAAATAAAAGAAAAATGCCTAATAACTTGCTGGCGATCATGCAATAGTCGAAATATTATAACTAAATATTGCTTATCACGATGTGCATATTGGTTTTTTCGGAAAGTAATTGATTTTCTTTTTTTTGATATGTACTTCCTCAAGGTCATGAGGTCATGACTATTAAATAGAATCGTAATTGGAAGTTAATATTTCGGTTTCGTACGATTTGCCGAAATTTATATGTGTAAAAACATGTTATAAATGATTTATAACTTAATTTACGCAATTTAAAATAATTAATATTGACTGTTTCATTTTTCCGTCTATGCTCTATAGTATTTTCTTTCATTGACACATCTATATGCTACAGCACTATTATATGAATTCTATGAATTTTATGCATCCCGTTCGGTTCTTGTCCATCTTGCCATTTTGTATTAAAAGCGACGCTACTCCGCCATTTTAAAATTTTGCAATTTAGCAATTTTACTTGCTTTTCGATGCGTGTTTTTATTGTATTTAAAGTTTTATTTATTTAATAGTATTGTGAATTAGTTTCGCTTCTTAATTTTTTACAGATCGATGATAAACGAGAGGCGGAGAGGACATGGAAGTTCGTTTTGATGCTAGCGTAAAAGAAGTTGTTCGATGTGATGTTCTTTCTATAAATAATTTTGCAGATAATTGAGGTGAGCATAAATACATGCTATAATTATTAGTGAGAGCATACAGTACATTTATTTTGTATTAGCTTTAACATTGTATTATGCACGTTATTTACTAGGGAAGCTAGATTATAATATTTTTTAATACTCATTCATAAAATTTCATTTCACAGGAACATTATAAAAATTCTGGATGCCATTAAGTTACAGACCGTTGGTTACATCAGTCCTCCTTCGTTTCAGGGAGTAGCTGTACCTATAGCCCAAGGGAATGCACGAAAGTGATTTTTTTTCCATTGAGAATGAAGACAGTATGTTTTTGCTGAAGGAAGGATTCATGACAATGAATTGGTAAGTACTAGTATCAATTAAAAACAGTAAATGAGGTCCAGTAACTTTAATTTCTTAGCCATTTGTTACTTTCAATAGACAACTTTCAAACAACGTTTCAGAAATGGCAGAAACAGAACAGCAAAAGTAATGTGGAACTGCTCTTTTCAACAGTTTGAATGAACTTTACCACCACATTGCTACTTGAAAATAATATTGATTTACTTGCTTTAAAGTGGTAATTAATTACTTTTTCTTGCCCGTTTCTATAGACTGCCCAACATATGAGAAGGGGGAGACTGCTGGAAATTAATTTGGAAACCGCTGAAACAATAGATTGCAGTGGCATCTCTCCTGGCTTTGGCTTGCTCGTTACACATTTAGACTTTAGAATATTAGTTTCTGCAATTAATTAAGGTGAGAATGCATAAGATAATTATTGTGAATTGCTCTTTATTAATCTGTTGTGGTATTTCTTTTAAAACTTGTCTATTCACAGTGTAAATTGTCGTTATCGTGAATGTATGGTATTCTAACGATTATCTATTGTCTGCAGTATAAATTGACGTTACGGCTACAGTGCATCTATGGTATCTCATTTAACAAAATGTAAATTTATGATGATGGGGTGGTATGTCGTTGTCGAAGAAATTTTTTAGCATTGTGATGAGATGATAATGATATTTACAACATAATATTTATTTTTGCAATAACCGATGGCCGTTTTTTATAAGTAATGTTTAATTATGTAATTAAAGATGTGTATGAATGTAGAACTTGTACATATACTTAATGATACTATAGTTGCAGTTAAAAGAGAGGTAGATAGATAGAAGAAAAAACAACGTCGATGTCTGTTTTTACGTTTTGAATGTTGTGTTTGTTGTTGTTAATTAACCAATTAATAATTGTTTAATTGAAGTCGAAGTGATTTGTACAAAAGCAAATCGAGCTGAGTAGTGGACCGGCCTACTTTCATGAATCGAAGAACTTAGTGTACATTTTTTTAGTTTAAGATTTCGAAATAGCGATTTTTAAAAGGAAAGTTATTATTTCTTTCTCGCAAAGTATGATGTAGTAGGAGTACGAGGAGTTTAATAATAAAATAAAAGTACATCTTGTTTACAACGAGGAAGGAATCTGATTTCAAAGTCCATTCGATTCATTATCCTTACAGGCGCATATGCTGCAATGGCATAAATCCAATCCAAGTAAGTATACAAGTTATTTCAAACGGTTATGGATAAGGTCTTGATATAAGATACGATTAAATGTGGAGTTTTATCAAGGTAAAAGAAAGGGTCATATCTCTAACCGTTTGAAATCAGTTGTGTACGTCTGTATCAAACGATCCTTAGCTTCCAAGTTATCATCCTTATCCAATATTAAAACAATTTGTAGCGTCAACACATTCCAATTATAGTATTTTAATTGATTTTATTGGCATTAAAAATTAAAAACATTAGAAATGGTACAAAATTTCATACATCAGTACATTTATTTACTATAAAAAAGTAACTTACACACAACTCATTTAATGAGTTTAAAAAAAATTTACTTATTATTCAGTCTTCGGTTCGGCCCTCAACAAGAGGACTACGAATACTTTCGTCGTTTGCTTCATTCCTAAGCCTCGCCATGTCCGGATCTAATACCTATAACAAGTGTTGTTTAGATTTTCGCAACCCTTAAACACCCTGTACAAATATCCTTACGTCATAATCGTCGTATCCAATCTCGTGTACCATTCCCACCGATGATACGCGCACGCTACTGGCACACAAGGTGCACCTCCTCAATTGTTGGAGGTCCATTTGTAGCGCGAGGCGTTCTTTCGACAAATTCAACTTTTCCTCTGCCAATTTCTTTTCCCTTTGCGCAAGAACGGCCACCTGTTTGTGCATGTCTCTGGTCCTATTTGCGTAAGTCGTTTCGATCAACTTGGCCTGAGCCAAAGCCCTTTCGGCTTCCGCGGCCCTATCGTCCAGTTCTTTCTGCAACGCTTCAAACGACTTTTCTTTGAGCGATAAAACGTGATCGCGATCGCGCATATCGCGCTTCAACGATTCAAGCTCGTGCTGAGCTTTCAGTAGATTCTCGCGTTCTAAATCGGTCTTGGCGGCAGCGTCTCGGGCGGCTTTCACGGCCGCTTCGACCTCAACCTGCGCCTTTTGAACGTCGTAGTTGTTGGCGAGTTTCGAGGAGATTTCCAGACGGGATTTTTCTGCAGAGATTGCCAGTTTTTCTTCGGTAAGTTGTAGAACTAGTTTTTCTTGTTCAGCCAAAAGATTTTCTTTCAAAGTCTTAAAATAAAAGATTTTGTTGATTTAGCTACATGGAATTTGGAAATCCGACCAAAAACACTTTAAAAAGGATGTTTTTGGAATCGTATAAAAGTATTAGTATATTTACCTTTAATTGTTCTCTCTCCCTTTCGATGGCTGCCCTTTGAAATTCTGCTTCTCGATCTGCAGCCGCCATTTTAGCCACTAAACTCGAAGTGGCTTGTTGGAAAGCCCATCTGTCCTCTCTTGAATTTTGACTTTGCTCCACAAGTTTAAGTTCCAAGTTTCTCACCAGGGCCATTAGTTGAGACCTTTCATTATCATTGCTTTCCCTAGCCTTTTCTAGCGTTTCTCTCATCACTATTAAAATTATTTTTAGTAAAAAAAAGTTAAAAAAACAATAACAATAACAAAATTTCGTGTACTTTCTATCTCTTTCTCCTTTGCTTTTATAGATTCCTCCTTTACTTTCGACAGAATGTTGCATTCTTCGTTCAGCTTCGACTTAATGTCATTTATATTGGAAGTGCTACTTGTTAAAACGCCTAAACTATCGTCCAGTTTCTTTATGTAAGTCGTGGCACCTTCGAAGGCTTGTTGCTCGTACTGTTTGGATTGTTTAAAATTGTTCAGCATTTCTCCATATTCGTTTTTGATATCTTCAACTATTCGATTGTGGCTTTCCCTTAAACTTTGTAGTTCTTTCTCATGGTAATCCGATAGCTGTTTAATTTTGTTTTCGTACTTTTCTATATCTGCTTTGTGTTGCTGATGGAGATTTTCTATAATCTCCTTGTAATATTTCGCGTTATCAATGATTTCAGTTCTAAGTCGATCTTCCACAGATTTCATCGTTTCTTCTAATAAAGAAATTTGTTTTCTGTAAAAAAAAATATAGGTTTCCTGAAATTTAAATAATTTTTCCAAACGTAGTACCAATTAACTTACTTGTAGGATTCTTCCAAGACAAAAACTTCTTCGTGTTGTTTTTCCTTTAGCAAGGAAATAACCGCATCTTTCTCCCTATCTACTTCTTCGTTTTTCTCTTCATTTGTATTAATATTCGACGCACCCAGATGGGGCGTGGAAAACATCAACGCTTCTATGTGTTTGTTTATTTTTTCTTGCTGAATTTGCAAGCTACTATCGATAGAGTGTTGCTTTAATAGCTGTTCTTCGACGACGCGTCTAAAATATTCCTCTTGTCTGTTAAATATTTCCTCTTGTTTCTTCTGGATGCCCAATAGACTTTCTTCGTATTTTTTCATCTGTAGGGCCATCACCAAAAGGGACTCTTGCTGCTGCATCGCGAGGGAAATGTTGGAATAGTTCCCCCCATGAGCACTGACTCTTTGGAGAAAGATGTCTTGAAGGGAAAATGCATTATTAGGATTGCTTTCATTAGAATTGGTACCTATTAACAGGTAGATTTATTAATATGGGAAAAATTACTAAAAGTAAATTTTATAAATTAGCTGGAGTACCAAACAAAACGTGATAGTCAAGTACCTGAAATTTCGCATTCCCTGTTTGCTTCTTGTTCTTTCCTGGAATTGTCCTCGTTAACAGAAGATGTTCTATCACTTTGAAATAATTCAAGCGAAGACGCACTCTTGCTCATATCAGCAGTGGGCAACGCAGCGGTAGATTTTACAGTTTTCACTGGATTATCGCCGTCGTCGAGCCATGAAATTCTTTTAGAACTTTTAGGATCTGATCCTTGCGATGTTACCTCAAAAGAGATGTTAACTTTTGGAACTGGAGAAAATCTTTCCTTTTCCTGTACGTTGCCAGTTGTTGTTAGCAATCCTAAGGGATCTCGTGTGTACGAAGGGGTTGTTCTAGATCGTCTGTTTTCTCGAGCAAAATTACTTAAAGTAAATTCGACGTTAGTTGTGTCTTTTGGTCCTTCTTCAGATTTCGTACTTGTGGCAGTAGATGGTTTACTAGAAATTGAGGTACTTTTCTTTTCGTCAGGGTTTGGATTGGATTTTTGCAACTTCAGCCCAAGAATATCGTCCAGTAGTGCCTTTTTTTTAACAGGATCTTTTTGAAATGACGCCGTTGCATCTTTCACTATTTCTTCGGCTGGCGCGGGGGCTGTTGCATTTTCCAAACCTAAGGCGTCCAAAATGTCATCTTCGAAGCTAACTTTCTTTGCTGGTTTCCTCCTGAGAGGAGCCTCGTCCAATTTCTTTGTTCCTTTTTCAGCAGGTGTATCGTTTAGCCATTCCAAGTCTTTCTTTGCTTCTTTGCTTTCTAAACCGAAGATTTTTGTAACGGTCGACTTTTCGGTTTCGTTCTTTTTTGAAATATCTTTCTTCGATTTCGTTTTGGGGTCATCGAAAAAACTGTCCGAACTTCCTTCAGACAATAAATCGTCGAGTAAGTCATCGTCAAAATCACTCATATTGTAATTTTTCTCGTATAGAATACTTCATACATACTTTATGCGCACAGTATACAGTACATTACACATTTTTTTCTTTTATAAAGAAAGTAATTGTGGTAATATTGGTATTAAACAGAAACTTTATTTTAAGTCGAAGTGATTTGTACAAAAGCAAATCGAGCTGAGTAGTGGACCGGCCTACTTTCATGAATCGAAGAACTTAGTGTACATTTTTTTAGTTTAAGATTTCGAAATAGCGATTTTTAAAAGGAAAGTTATTTTTTCTTTCTCGCAAAGTATGATGTAGTAGGAGTACGAGGAGTTTAATAATAAAATAAAAGTACATCTTGTTTACAACGAGGAAGGAATCTGATTTCAAAGTCCATTCGATTCATTATCCTTACAGGCGCATATGCTGCAATGGCATAAATCCAATCCAAATAAGTATACAAGTTATTTCAAACGGTTATGGATAAGGTCTTGATATAAGATACGATTAAATGTGGAGTTTTATCAAGGTAAAAGAAAGGGTCATATCTCTAACCGTTTGAAATCAGTTGTGTACGTCTGTATCAAACGATCCTTAGCTTCCAAGTTATCATCCTTATCCAATATTAAAACAATTTGTAGCGTCAACACATTCCAATTATAGTATTTTAATTGATTTTATTGGCATTAAAAATTAAAAACATTAGAAATGGTACAAAATTTCATACATCAGTACATTTATTTACTATAAAAAAGTAACTTACACACAACTCATTTAATGAGTTTAAAAAAAATTTACTTATTATTCAGTCTTCGGTTCGGCCCTCAACAAGAGGACTACGAATACTTTCGTCGTTTGCTTCATTCCTAAGCCTCGCCATGTCCGGATCTAATACCTATAACAAGTGTTGTTTAGATTTTCGCAACCCTTAAACACCCTGTACAAATATCCTTACGTCATAATCGTCGTATCCAATCTCGTGTACCATTCCCACCGATGATACGCGCACGCTACTGGCACACAAGGTGCACCTCCTCAATTGTTGGAGGTCCATTTGTAGCGCGAGGCTTTTTTTCGACAAATTCAACTTTTCCTCTGCCAATTTCTTTTCCCTTTGCGCAAGAACGGCCACCTGTTTGTGCATGTCTCTGGTCCTATTTGCGTAAGTCGTTTCGATCAACTTGGCCTGAGCCAAAGCCCTTTCGGCTTCCGCGGCCCTATCGTCCAGTTCTTTCTGCAACGCTTCAAACGACTTTTCTTTGAGCGATAAAACGTGATCGCGATCGCGCATATCGCGCTTCAACGATTCAAGCTCGTGCTGAGCTTTCAGTAGATTCTCGCGTTCTAAATCGGTCTTGGCGGCAGCGTCTCGGGCGGCTTTCACGGCCGCTTCGACCTCAACCTGCGCCTTTTGAACGTCGTAGTTGTTGGCGAGTTTCGAGGAGATTTCCAGACGGGATTTTTCTGCAGAGATTGCCAGTTTTTCTTCGGTAAGTTGTAGAACTAGTTTTTCTTGTTCAGCCAAAAGATTTTCTTTCAAAGTCTTAAAATAAAAGATTTTGTTGATTTAGCTACATGGAATTTGGAAATCCGACCAAAAACACTTTAAAAAGGATGTTTTTGGAATCGTATAAAAGTATTAGTATATTTACCTTTAATTGTTCTCTCTCCCTTTCGATGGCTGCCCTTTGAAATTCTGCTTCTCGATCTGCAGCCGCCATTTTAGCCACTAAACTCGAAGTGGCTTGTT